TACTAATTACTAATGTTTATTATAGAGCTTTACTTGTAATTAGTAGGAGTAACTTTTAACACTTCATTGTTTAAATCTTTTAATATACCATATATAGTGCACATAACTTAAACTCTCCTGCTTATACGAAGAAAGTACAGCAAAGCGCTTCCAGCGTTCCAAAACAACTGTCTAGCTTGTTCAGAATTTTACTAGTTTTTCCTGAAAGAAAATGTGCATACTTCTCAAAACGTGTTACGTTCATCTTCTATCATCAAAAGGTGATTGAGATCTGTTATAAGTTTTACATAATATTCAAATCTATTGGGGTCAGCCTTATCTTTACTTTAATATCATATTCCACTATCCAAGAATCCTAGGATAGTACTCTTGTGAAAAATAAATGTCGGAGAGGCTTGGTCCAACAGTTTGCAAGAGTTAGTGTAAAGCTGCTGTGATGGGAACTTTAATTTTATATTAGGAGCACGTATAATAAAGAAATGTCAAATGAATTGAATAATTGACTTTCAGAAAATCAAAAAGCTGACTAATTTATTTATTAATTTAGAAGCATAATAGTCCATTGAACATTTTGATAACACGGTGGTATGATGATCAACAGGGAAAAACAACAGCACAGGCAATTTAAGTGCAGATTTGAGGAATTATTTGAGCGGAGCACTTATTAATCAAGACACATGCATAGATGGATTTGATGGAACAAACGGAATTGTCAAGAATTTGGTTGCGGGAAGCCTTAACCAAGTCACTACATTAGTCCGTGACATTCTTTACATGGTCCGCCCCGTCCCTAAAAACGCCCCCAGGGCTAATGACGGACGTGGAAAACCATGGCAATGGTCCCGAGAGAGGAGGCTAACGTCAAACAAAGGAGACGACAACTCATTCCCTTCCTGGCTTAACCGAAAAGATAGACGGTTGTTGCAGTCAGCTCCCACTACAGGTGTTGTTGCGGACGTTGTAGTAGCTCTAGATGGAACGGGTAATTTTACTCGTATTAAAGATGCTATATCAGCAGCACCAGAATTGAGTACCAAGAGATTTGTGATACATATCAAGAAAGGTATTTATAACGAGTATGTGGAAATCAGCAAGAAGAAATGGAACATATTGATGATCGGTGACGGAATAGATGTTACTGTTATTTCTGGGAATAGAAGTTTTATTGATGGATGGACCACTTACAGATCTGCAACATTTGGTAAGTATTTAATTTGATTCCATTTATTATCTTATCTTAATCCACGTGGACTAATATATATTTCAAATGCAACTATATATCTGCATTTAAAGATGGCCCATAAGGTATGTCTGTAAATTGATCAATCGTGTCATAGATTGACAATTACTAACAGTACTACAATTCGGTAATGGATTTGGGACCCCATAACGATCAGACTGCAAGATGTCCATATCACGAAAAGATTAAAAAATATTTATATATAGAGAAGTTTTTTGTTTATAAAAAAATATCTGCTGTGGATCCACGCTAGGCAAGTGAACTGACTGTTTGAGAGGAACTAACATGTAGTGCAGTTAGTACAGTTTACAGTAAAAATTGGATGAGCTTTCACTTTTTTCATTCTAACCATTGGTAATAGGATGTGTAATTTATTATAGGATCCAACCTTTAGTCATGGTTGGCTGACTCACTATGAAGAAAACTCCTTGTGAAGAGGGGCTAAAATAGCTAATAATAACATTGCTGGTTGATAAAGATTGGATTTTTTTCTTTTAAAAAAATGAGCTGACATTAAAAATTGAAAAGAAAAAAGAAGGGCCAAAAGAAAGAAGAAAAAAGCAAAAGAATTGAGTAGTAGCTCGTGTAGCTGCTACCTGGTACCTTATTGTGTTAGTGGTGCAAGATCTAATTATCATCGTGCCCACCCTATGTTTCCATTTCCTTATCTCCTACCCGACCTACTTTACTACTTCATTATAATTAGATTGCAATTAATTTTTTGTCCTCCCACTGCCTGTCCATCTCCCACCTAAATTCATTAAAAATATTAGAATTATTTCATGTTACTAGCTATTCTACTCTGTCTATCCCATTTTATATGAAATGACTTAGGACTACAAGGGCCAAAACATCAAAATTCGGGCAAAGATTCTTATATTCTTTTAAAATAAAATTTATATATTTTAAAAATATTTACTTAGTATAGTTAATCAATTAAAATATTTTAAAAAGAACTAAAAAAGTTACAATCAAAGAAAGCTTATTTGATTCCTCAAATAGTATAGCTTTTCACATAAAAGGAAACATAAACAAATGATATGATTTTTGCATTTGATTTGATTATCATGAAAATGGGCCATTCTTGAGATTGAGAGTTTTGAGTCTGAAAGATATCTATGTACCAGATTGGCAAATAAAATTGGCAGCTTTCACGTTTTACACGGTCAAAGATAAAAGGATCAACACGCGCGCACACACTAGCAACATATATAAGACGAAAACAAAGTTAGAGAATGATTTGATTCATCCAAGTTACGTACACTTATTACAATGTCGGTGTTCATATGTATGCAGCTGTGAAAGGTCAAGGATTCATTGCACGGGACATGACATTTGAGAACACAGCAGGACCCCAAAAGCACCAAGCCGTTGCATTTCGCTCTGACTCAGACTTGTCTGTGTTGTTCAGATGCGCGTTGAGGGGCTACCAGGACACTCTCTACGCCCATTCTATGCGCCAATTCTACCGAAACTGCGTAATTACTGGCACGGTAGACTTCATATTCGGAGATGGCACGGTCGTGTTCCAAAATTGTCAAATATTAGCCCGAAAGGGACTACCTGAACAAAAGAACACCATCACAGCCCAAGGCCGAAAAGAAGCTGCTGAAACGACAGGCTTCTCCATCCAATTCTCTAATATATCTGGCGAACCAGATCTATTAGCTTCACTTAACTCTACACAAACATTCCTTGGTAGGCCGTGGAAGGCATATTCGCGCACTGTAATCATGCAATCATACATGAGTAATGTAATTAAACCACAGGGCTGGTTAGAGTGGAACGGTAATATATCACTTGACACATTGTACTACGCCGAGTATCAAAATTACGGGCCCGGTGCGGGCTTAGGCGCTAGAGTCAATTGGCCTGGTTATCATCTACTCAATGATTCATCGCAGGCAAATAATTTCACAGTGGCTCAGTTCATTTTGGGTAACTCATGGTTGCCTTCTACTGGAGTTAAGTACACTGCTGGTCTAGCGGTTTAATTGATCTTAGCTGGCCTGTATTGGGACAAAGTTACCAATATCCATATCCATATATCTCCCTTGCTTCCTCTTTTTTCGTTTTGTTTTTTTGGTTACCACATCAATTGTTTCTCTACTGATATATATCCATCTATCTTTTGTTCATTGTTGGTTGCTTTTGGGGCTTTTGGTGGATTTGTACTTGAGACAGTTTACACTGATGATTCCTTTCTATTTAATCATCCACTGTATACCTTTATCCATTTTACTTCCACATTTTAATAGATCGTGTATATTAACCTAACCTCTCTATAACGCTTGTTCTTTATGAGAAATTTTAATTTGTGTCTCACATTCCACGTCATACTTATGTGAGGCCCATGATTACTTGACAAGTGGATTTATGGGTCTCATTTGTTTGCTTTGAAGATAAAACTAAAAAAGGCAATTTAAAAGTCAATTTAATATGCCTAACTAAGGACAAAAATAAGTAATAACATAATAATCAAAATGGTAAGAAAATATACGCATTTAAAAAGCTAAATGTTCTTTTCCTTCCGACCGGCACATGAATTTCAGAGCTAAAACATATACTCCTATTTGAGTTGGAAAAATATGCTAACTTATAAATTCTTTTTTTTTTTCAGATATGAAAAAAGAACTTTGTTTAACAATTTTTTTGAAACTTTTTTTTTTAGACCATTTCTCGATTGAAACTTTTTTAAGACCATTTCTCACTATTAACTTTTTCAGTTGACAAGAGCATGAAAAATAATCATCTTGTTATGCTTAGTGATAATAATTAAATATATCAAAAAGTAGGAAAAGATATTATTGATTGTTTAGAAAAGTAATTCACATTAGTATAATAGAGATGGACAATAACAGAATTATAAGATAAGAAAAAAATAATATAAAACGTTCAATGCTTATTAACTCATCAAATTGTTACTTGCTAGTATTCTCCAAGCTTCTCTCCAATAATATAATTCCAATCCATGTGTGGAGCCAAAAAAGTTTCAATGATGGTGATGGTCTAATCGAGGAATGGTAAAAAAAAATTCAATCGAAAAATGGTCTAAAAATAGTTGCAAATGTTATGAATAGAATTCTATTTAGAGTGAATGTCCATCTTGTTGAGAGATTTACTTTGTGGTTAAGTCATTTTCCCCCCTATAAATAGAAGGGTCTTACCTCATTGTAAATCATCCCAAAATTCAATAAGAATTTCCTCTCTCTCTCTCTTTCTCTGCAATATTGTTCTTCTACTTTTATTGTTTTATAACACGTTATCAGCACGAGACTCTACCGTCTCAAGAAGATTAAGGTAACACTTTTCTCCTCTTTTAATTATGACTGATATTATGAAAAGAAAGTTCGTTGCCCTTGAAATTTCGGGCAAGAACTATATGACATGCGTGTTGGATGCTGAAATCCATTTAGATGCAATGGGTCTTGGAGACGTCATTAAAGACAAAACTAAAGCATCCACCCAAGACTGTGCTAAGGCCTTGATTTTCTTGCGTCATCACCTTGATGAGGGGTTGAAAATAGAATATCTCACAGTTAAAGATCCACTTATTTTGTGGAATGGCTTAAGGGAAAGATATGACAACTTAAAGTCGGTCACTCTTCCACAAGCACGATATGTTTGGGCTCATCTGAGGCTCACTTTAAGTCTATTTCTGAATATAATTCTGCAATGTTCAGAACTACTTCTAAATTGAAACTTTGTGGAGATACTATCACTAATTATGATATGCTTGAAAAAACGTTCACAACGTTTCATGCCTCCAATATGGTCTTGCAACAGCAATACAGAGAGAAAGGCTTCAAGAAGTACTCTGAGTTGATTTCTCTTCTCCTTGTGGCTGAGCGAAATAACGACTTGCTCATGAAAAATTACAAAAATCGACCCACTGGGTCTACACCATTGCCTGAAGTGGATGAGGTGTATTCCCGTTATGCTAAGCGTGGAAAAGGTCGTGACTCTATTCGTGGTCGTGGTCGTGGTCATGGCCGTGGCCGTGGCCGTGGACAAGGAAGAAATTTTTCTGGTGTTAATCACCCCCGAGAGAAAAATAACCACCAAAAGTGGAAAGAGAAAGATGAGAGGCCAAAGACAAATGGTTCAGAAACTGAATGCTATCGTTGTGGTGGAAAAGGGCATTGGGCAAATATTCGTCGTGTACCAAGATATTGGGTTGAGCTTTATCAAGCATCTCTAAAGAACAAAGGCCCTGAAGCTAATTTTGTCTCTGACAATGATTTTGACATCACCCACTTGGATGTGGCAGACTTCTTTGAGCGCCTTGATGGGAAAATAGACCACTTGATCGGTGATGGATCCGTGGTTAAAGATGATTGAGTAGTTTAATTTTTATTTTTGCCTATTCATAGTAGTTAGTGAATAAATATCATGTAATTATAGTTCTTTACATGAGCAGTAGTCATTAGTATCGATTAGTATTATTTGGTTTATGAAATAGTGTTAGTTCATTTTGATTAAATATAGTTTTCGTATTTGTTTAGACAATATTTGAATTTGCTTCGTTCCAATATTTAGTAACGTATTTGACCAGTGATACACTATTTCCGCCAGCCATTCGGTCTTTAGAAGAATTATATGCCCGAGTTTGGAGAATATTGCACGCTTCAATTATCCTTCATGGAGAAATCCATCCCTCAATTTCATAGGTAAACAATATTAAAATATAATAAATGTTGTGAACATTGCTAGAGAGGAAATCAATGAATAATGCACACGAGGAATATTGAATCTATACTAAAGTTTTTTCAGCTTTTCTTCCTCTTAAGAAAAGATCTTATTTTACTTTCAAAGGAAGCTTAGTTTCTGTCAAACTCAAATCGTTGAAATAATATACAAAGAGGTCATTTCATTTCTAAAAGAAACCTCTGATTCTTTTTAAAATTTCAGTTTATTGATCATTTGGATTCCTACGCAAATTTATACATGTAAAACCAGCTCATTAGAGTTTGCTCAAAATTTCATTAAAGTCATTATTGAATCAATAATTTATCTCTGTTTCTTTCCCTTTATCTATGAAAATACTAATGTTTATTCGTATATTTTTTTTGTATGTTAAACAATGGGAAGCAAATATANTAAGCCTAGTTTATTTCTCTGAAAATACTAATATTTATTCATATATTTCTTTTGTATGTCAAACAATGGGAAACAAATATGGATATCTCACAAAACAAACTTAGATCAAAGATCAATTGTAAAAATAGTTGTTTAATTGATTCATGTACGACACATACAATATTCAAAGAGAAGAAATATTTCTCTCATTTAAATATGTGTAAGGCAGATGTTACTACAATTTCTTATAGTAGTAAATTACTTGAAGGCTCTGGAAGAGCTACTATAACTCTGCCTAAGGGAACAATACTTATCATAGAGAATGCAATGTTCTCCTCCAAGTCCAAGAGGAACTTGTTGAGTTTTAAAGATATCCGTCGAAATGGATATCATATTGAGACAATAGATGAGAATAATCTTGAATATCTCATCATTACCAAGAATGTCTCTGGCCAAAAGAGGGTTATTGAGAAGTTCCAATCTTTATCTTGTGGCCTGTATTGGACAAGAATTAGTGCAATTGAGGCACATTCTACCGTAAACCAAAAGGTTACTGATTCCAATACTTTTGTACTTTGGCATGATCGATTGGGACATCCTGGATCAATTATGATGAGACGAATTATAGAAAACTCAAATGGGCATTCATTAAAGAATTTAAAGATTCTTTTAAATAATGAATTTTCTTGCACTTCTTGTTATCAAGGCAAGTTAATTATTAGACCATCACCAACAAAGGTTGGAATTGAGTCCCCTGCGTTTTTGGAACGTATACAAGGGTACATTTGTGGACCTATTCACCCACCTAGTGGGTCATTTATATATTTTATGGTCTTAATAGACGCATCTTCTAGATGGTCTCATGCGTGCCTATTGTCATCTCGCAACCTCGCGTTTGCAAAATTAATGGCACAAATAATTCGATTACTGGCACAATTTCCCGATAATCCAATTAATTCTATTAGACTTGATAATGCTGCTGAGTTTTCATCCCAAGCATTTAACGATTATTGCTTATCAATTGGGATAAAAGTGGAACATCCTGTAGCTCATGTTCACACTCAAAATGGTCTTGCAGAGTCTTTAATTAAACGTCTGCAATTGATAGCAAGACCGTTACTCATGAAAACGAGGTTGCCCACTTCTGTTTGGGGTCATGCCATTTTGCATGCAGCAATGCTAGTTCGTCTCAGACCGACAAATTATCATAAATATTCCCCGTTGCAATTAGTACTGGGTCATGAACCTAATATATCCCATTTAAGAATTTTTGGATGCGCAGTATATGTGCCTGTAGCACCGCCATATCGCACCAAAATTGGTCCACAAAGAAGGTTAGGAATATATGTTGGGTTTGAATCGCCCTCCATTATTCTCTATCTTGAAATATTAACGGGGGATTTATTCACTGCTCGATTTGCAGACTGTCGATTCGATGAGACACTTTTCCCAAAATTAGGGGGAGAAGTTGGTGAAACCAAACGGGAAATTTTGTGGAAAAATTCATCATTATCTCATCTTGATCCACGTGCCTCTTTTTGTGAAAAAGAGGTGCAAAAGATTATCCATTTGCAGAGAATAGCAAATCAAATGCCAGATGCATTTACGGATTTGAAAAGGATAAGAAAATCACATATTCCTGCAGAGAATGTTCCAATCCGTATTGATGTCCCTGTTGGACAATCTTCTAGTGTCATAGCTAATGAGTCAAAAACACGCCTAAAACGTGGTAACCATTAGGTTCTAAGGATCGAAATCCTAGAAAAAGAAAAACAAATTATCAAAATGACACTACGAAAGAATCTTACGAAGAAATCCACGATTTAATAAATTATGAGATTCATGAGGAAACCACTGAGCCCAAAACTCAAGAAAATAAGGAGCTATCAATAAATCCAATCGATATTGAGACAAATTTNAGGATCTTGAACCTCAATCTGTTGGAGAATGTCGACAAAGACTTGATTGGCCAAAATGGCAAGAAGCAATCCAATCAGAATTGAATTCACTTGCAAAACGTGAAGTTTTTGGGCCTGTAGTCCAAACACCTAATGGTGTTAAGCCTGTTGGCTATAAATGGGTCTTTGTACGCAAGAGAAATGAGAAAAACAAGGTACAAAGATATAAGGCATGCCTTGTTGCACAATGATTTTCACAAAGGCCCGGTGTCGATTATGAAGAGACATATTCACCCGTTATGGATTCTATAATGTTTCATTATCTCATTAGTTTTGTTGTCCATGAAAAACTTGACATGCATTTAATGGATGTGGTTACCGCCTACCTTTATGGCTCACTTGACAATGAGATA